TTGAGCCCAGGAGTTGGAGGTTGCTGTGAGCGTGATGCCATGGCACTCTACCAGGGGGATAGCTTGAGGCTCCGTCTCAAAAAAAAAAAAAAAAATCCTTGTCCAGAAATTAGAGAATATAGGAAATAAAGAAGAGGAATATTTAAAATTATCCGTATTGCCAGGCCCAGTGGTACATATGTATTCTGGAGGTACATAGCTATTCTGGAGGCTGAGGTTGTAAGATAGCTTGAGCCCAGGTGTTTTAGGCTGTAGTTTTATCTGTCTTCTTTGATATATTAGAAACATTTCCCCATTTTATTGTACATCAGTGTTTATGTTCAAACTGTAATGAGTGAAGAATACACCATTGGATTAAATGTATCATTATTTAGTCTAATTTTGAACCCCTAAGTTATTTATTGATTGATTGATTGATTTTAGAGACAGAGTCTCACTTTCTCTTCCTCAGTAAAGTGCATGGCGTCATAGCTCACAGCAACCTCCAACTCCTGGGCTTAGGCAATTCTTCTGCCTCAGCCTCCCAAGTAGCTGGGACTACAGGCGCCCACCACAACTCCCGGCTATTTTTTGTTGCAGTTTGGCCGGGGTTGGATTTGAACTCGCCACCCTCGGTATATGGGTCCGGCGCCCTACTCACTGAGCCATAGGCGCCACTCTATTTCTAAAATTATGCTACTATAAAGTGTTGCAGTAAACTTCCCTATGACTAAAACTTTACATACATCTTTTATTTCCTTGTGATTCTTTTCTAAAACTAGAATTTTTGCCCAGCACTGTGGCTCAGACCTGTAATCCCACCACTTTTGTAGGCCAAGGCAGGAGGATCTTTTGAAACCAGTCTTGGCAACACGGCAAGACCCTGTCTCCAAAACGTTTTAAAATTAGCCAGAGCAGAGCATGGTGGCTCACCTCCACTTTGGAGGCCCAGGTGTGAGGATTGCCAGAGTTCACAGGTTGGAGACCATCCTCAGCCAAAACGAGACCTCATCTCTAAAAATACCCATGCGCTGGGCAGTGCCTATGGCTCAGTGGGTAGGGGGCCAGCCCCATATACAGAGGGTGGCGGGTTCAAACCAAGCCCTGGGCAAACTGAAACATTAGTCAGGCATTGTGGTGGGTACCTGTGATTTTAGCTACTCAGGAGGCTGAAGCAAGAGAATCACCTAAGCCAAGGAGTTAGAGGTTGCTATGAGTTCTGTGACACCACGGCACTCTACCAAGAGCGATAAAGTGAGACTCTGTCTCTCCAAAAAAAAAAGAAGAAATGGTTCGGCGCCTGTGGCTCAAGTGGCTAAGGCACCAGCCACATACACCTAAGGTCACGGGTTCGAATCCAGCCCGGGCCTGCCAAACAACAATGGCGGCTGCAACCAAAAAAAAGCCAGGTGTTGTGGCGGGTGCCTGTGTCCCAGCTACTTGGGAGGCTGAGGCAGGAGACTCGCTTAAGCCCAGGAATTGGAGGTTGCTGTGAGCTGTGATGCCACAGCACTCTACCCAGGGTGACAGCTTGAGGCT